GGGTTGGACTGGGTGACCCACAGAGGTCCCTGCCAACCCCGAACATTCTGTGATTCATTCTGTGATTCTGTATCTCACGCATCACTGGAATCGCACAGGTTAAGTGGGATATGTGATGCGCAGACCTTGCCTGGTCTTCTCCCCAAGGGTGAATTTCACTGCTGAGGATCACTTCTGCAGAGCTCCACCGCATAATGCAAGCAGCTGAGTGCTCCGAGAGTTCATTGACTTAGCTCTTCTAAGCTCTTCTTTTATCTGCTCCACGTCGAGCCTCCAGTTTATTTACCTCCCTCTGTCTGCGCGAGAGCTAAACCCTTGAGCTGCTCCTTTTGTCCTATTTTACCTCTCTGGATAAAAAAGGGCTGTTAACGTTTTGTGTAACGAGCAGTCTGCGGGCAAACGGACGCCAGAGTGTGACAGGGCTAAGGCTTCACCCCCGCTTTGGAAGGGACACAAAAGTCAACATCGCACTTGTGATACACAGTGCAGAAGCCACCACGGCTTCCCGCTGGCATCACCCACCACCACCATGAACGCAGATGGTTGGTAGCCCAGAGGAATGACTGTGGCCTGAAACAAAAGAGCTTTGTAAAGTAGCTCTTGGAGGTTTTTATGTGAAAAGAGTAAAAAAAGCCTTGCTCCTATTCCTTGATATTTAAGGATGATTCAGAGGGTGTCATAAATAAAAACCTGCTTGTTTTTTTTTCACATGGAAAGCTCAGACTTTTCTCTAGGAGACACTGTGTCTGGAGAAGTAACAGAAATGTGACATTGCAAGAGTCAACAACCTGAAAACGAGGAATTCAGAGGCAGTGAGATTTCTTGAAGAGGACCATTTTAAGCTTGGGGTTCGTTTGTCTTTGCTAGCCTGTGTATTTCCAGTGAGATGAGCCTGGCAGAAGACAGGGCTGTATCAGCCATCCACGCTCCTGCCACGTTAGCTAACCGGTCAACCTTCTCAGGAGGCATTCGCTGGGTCCTCCCCACTTCTGAGAGACCCCCCTCCCCACCCCAAAGCGGATGAAAATCTAATTCCTGAAGTTCATAAAGTGCAAGACAACATCCCCTCCCCTCTGAACAAACCACTAGCCTCTCCAAACCCTGCAAAAATCTCCTCAGAAGACTGACGGGAGGCTTTCAGGGAGTGTCCATGTAAAGCACAACGTCGAAAAAAAAGAGCAGAATTTTTGGGGGGAGGGTGTGTTTTACGAGTCCCTTTTAATTATGGAAAGAGGAATGACCTCTAGGATTAGGATCTGTTTTCATATGGCAAAGTGCTGTTGTTCCCCCCGCCCAGGGGCAGTGTGAATTTTGGCCCGAAGCGTGAGAGTCACACATACGATGGGGAAGTGCCTGGGCATCTTTATGGTGTCACTGGAATCACAGAATCACAGAATGTTCGGGGCTGGGAGGGACCTCTGTGGGTCACCCAGTCCAACCCCCTGCCAAAGCAGGGTCACCCAGAGCAGGCTGCACAGGACCGCGTCCAGGAAGGGCTTGAATATCTCCAGAGAAGGAGACTCCACAACCTCCCTGGGCAGCCTGGGCCAGGGCTCCGTCACCCTCAGAGGGAAGAAGTTCTTCCTCATGTTCAGACGGAACTTCCTCTGCTTCAGTTTGTGCCCGTTGCCCCTTGTCCTGTCGCTGGGCACCACTGGAAAGAGTCTGGCCCCATCCTCTTGACACCCACCCTGCAGATATTTATAAACATTTATTAGGTCCGCTCGCAGCCTTCTCTTCTCCAGGCTGAACAGAAAAGTAGAGGGTAGATATATCTTTTTCCTGTTTTGGTCCCAGTCTCCATCTTACAGATCCAGCTACCTGAACAAAACAAACCTTCAGCACACACTTGCCTGTGTCCACAGCCTGAACTGAGGAAATGTGATGTACACACTGAGCTGGCCATCAAGGAGCTCAGGAATCTTGTGCCGAGGCACTCAGAAAAAGCAACAGAGAGAATAAAGCATGGACAGAGGAAATGGATCTGGGAAAGCTCAAAACGCCAGCACATACGAGAGCTGTGCGTGTGTCTTGGCAGGTCAGCTAGCCCGGGGAGCGTGGGACTCTCGCCAAAGGGCTATCAGTGAGACCCACTGGTCAACGCGACTGCCGAAGCATTGCGACTGCACCTGTCACATTTCTGCACATTTAATTTGGTACCAAATTGCTTTTTCTTTCTGTAAAAAGAAAAACCAGCCCCTGCTCTTTATTTGTTGAGATCAGCTTTAGATATGGGCTTATAGAGAGTCCACCAATCAGGTACATGAACAAGTCACCAAAGCAAATGTAATGTGATTTGTTCTCCTTTTCATTCTTCTTTGTCTAACACAGTCAATCAATGTTTACTTACAACCAAGCTTTCACTCTAAATGACCCATGCAAGCTCACTGAGGTTGAATGAGGCCAGAGTTTGAAAAAAACAGAAATTCAGTCATGCAATAAACATCAATACCAATAGTACAGACCTGAGATTGCAAAGCTTTTGGAAGGAAACAACTTGCAGTTGGAAAAGCCACACTGGCCCTGTGCTCCTAGATTTCCCCAAAACTCTCTTTACAGATTGTCTCTGATGTATTTAATGCATCTGCTCTTGTCAGATCAACGAGTACGGTGAGTTAGCAACACTCCCCTCAACACCAACATCTGGCAAAGATTGATGACTTGGTGCCCTGGGGTGAGGCAGGATTGGAGAAAGAGGAGCAGATGTGGAGACACATAGATTTTCCTTGGTGAAACTGGAGGCTCAGAAGTAGACAAGTCCTGATGGTGATAAATAGCAAAAACATCACCCTGCAACACCAGCTTCTCCTCACAGTCAGCAAAATGAGGTTCCCAGTAAGTCTGGGTGCTCGCTGCTGAAATGCTGAGTTGCTTATTCTGTGGTACCTGTACTTCTAGATGCAAGACCACTATGCACGAGAAGATTATACAAAGCTGATTGAGGTCATAGAGGTAAAATTTCAGAAATAAAAATGCCAAAGCATCAAACTGCACAGTTCAAATGCAAGTGGACTTCCTGTCATAAATTGAAAAATATAAATACACCTCTATTTACCAAACAATCTTCAATACTTCTGAATGTTAGCTTGGGACCAGTCGGTGGCTTGTTCTGCTGGGGCACACAGAGGCACAAGTGGGAATAGTTTCATCTCTTCTGTACCTTCAGGAACGGCCGCCAGGACAAATGGCATTTCCACCATTCTTTGCATAGTGTGTCCATGGTCACGCCAGTTGTGCTGACCAACCTGGCAGGACACGCAGCAGGTACTCCCTGGTCAAGGCCAAGACAGCTCAAGCACAAGCCCTTTCTGAGGGCTAACTGTCCAGGTGCCTCTGGGGAGCAAAGCCCAAGGGTGTTTGTGAGCTCTGCGCAGGTTTGGGCAGAAGCTGTCCTGTCCTCTTCTCTGCTCCTCAGACCACGTCTAGCTCAGTAGCAGAGCTTCACTGGGATCGTACGATAAATGAGAGCATCAGCAGACAGCGCTATCTTTCATAAAGCTCCAGGGAATCTGGCTCAATTAAAGTCTCTTAAGTCTTCGAGCTTAAAGCCAGATGAATGTCCAAAAGCCAAATACCTAAGCTCTTCTCACCTCCAGTGACCTGTGGTTAATTAAGAATGTAAGTGGATAGTTTAACTAAATTCATTATATGTTTGGGAAGGGGAGTGGTGGAAGATTAGTATTAAATATACTTAAAAATAAATACGGCCAACATTAAACATAAACTGATTTAAAAAGACAAGTGCAGACAGTATTTGGAGAAGTTTTGTCAGGGTTACTCTTTCTCTCTTGACTCCACTTTCCTGGCTGTTAACATTTCAAAGGAGCATTTCACTGGTGGTTTCTGAGGGACTGGAACACAACTCGTTTATGCCAAGACACAAGCTGTTCTTGGTGAGCAGACTTCGGCCTTCAGCTGTTTATCCACTGTTTCTCCTCATGTTTATCTGCCAAGTTATCCTCCATCTTGGGTCTCTTAGGTTCAGAATTAGGCCCAGAGAGGACAGATAAAGTAACAGAAATCTTTATGCTTGCTTGGAGTCCAAAAGCAGCACATCCGGCATCACAACATGATGGTTCTTAACTCATTCACTGACTGCTGGCAGCCTCTAGCCTGTCACCCACAAAGAGAACCAAGGCTTGAACTACCACTGAGGGAAGCTAACGGCATCCTTCCCAGGGACCACAATGGCCTTCAAATCTAGCCGGTCTACGGATCTTCCAGTTCGGACGCAGTGCTCATCCTGCTCCATATAAACCAAGTGCGTCACAAGCACACGATTGTTAAGGGTTTTGGGTTTTTTTGCCAATGGCACCGACTGTTCATCAGCTTTTGCTTTTAAATACTTTTCTGAACCTCGTCTCTCTTTTTTGTGTCCCTCGGGATCATTCATACACCTGGAGTCAGGGAAGGGTACAGCCATTGAACTACCTTGCCCTTGGGAATCTCCACCTCCCTTTTTTGTTTTTTTTTTTCACAGAATCCCAGCACGGCAGGGGTTGGAAGGGACCTCTGTGGATCACCCAGTCCAACCCCCTGCCCAAGCAGGGTCACCCAGAGCAGGCTGCACAGGACCTTGTCCAGGCGGGTCTTTAGAGGCATTTCTAAGGTCCCCTCTCAGCCTTCTCTTCTTCAGGCTGAACAAGCCCAGCTCCCTCAGCCTCTCCTCCTACGAGAGATGCTCCAGTCCCCTCACCATCCTCGTAGCCCTCTGCTGGACTCTCTCCAGTAGCTCCTCATCTTTCTTGAGCTGGGGAGCCCAGAACTGGACACAGGACTCCAGATGGGGCCTCACCAGGGTAGAGCGGAGGGGGAGGAGAACCTCCCTTGACCTGCTGGCCACACTACTCTCCATGCACTCCAGGATCCCATTGGCCTTTTTGGCAACCAGGGCACTTTTTTCTTTAAGCTGGGCAGTGTTTGCAGCACGATCTGGACATAAATCAAAGGGATTCCTTCCCTATTCAAGCATATGTGGGGGGGGAGGGGAACATTTATTTACTACTTCCGTTGTTCCTGACAAGATAGGGGTAACTGGCATTTTGAATTAACCGTGTTAAATCTAGGAGTGCTGTAAAATGGCATAAAGTTTCATGCAGTTAATGTCTTTTTTTAATCTTCAAAGTTGACAGATATCCTTACTCTGAAGAATTTATCTTTTCAGATCTTTAACTGCACCCGGTATCTCTGTCCGAGCTGTTTCAAGCCATGGCATGCGAGGTGAGCACATCCTTCCAGGAAACACCCAGTAACCTGAATTGCTTGAAAACTTTTTAAGACCACCCAGAGATTTCAAGCCACTCCTCTTCTCACCCCGCTGCCCCCCTTCTTCCCAGCACTGCTTCAACACATGCACGAAAAACAGAAAAACAAAAAAAAGCAAAACGCAAAAGCTCACCCCTACATTTCATCTGAATAAAATCCAGCTGGTGGATCGACTGCAGCAGAGGTTCGCTATCCAGAGTCAAGTCAAACTCCGCAGACACTTTTGGCTCCAAGGCTCCTTTGACCCACTGCTCCTGAGATACCTGCACACGCTTGATCAAAGCATCGGAAATCTGAAAGAGAGTATTCGGGCTCAAAATGAAACGGCAGATGCAGACGTGAACAGCGACAGAACGCCCGTGAGATGCAGCACAGCGAAAGCAGGCACACGGCAGCACGACAGCTGGGACGGGACCCGGTCGGTTTGGGCCCAGCGCCACTGACGTTGCACCCTTTCGTCTCGCCTTTTCAAAACAAATCTCATCTTAGGGAAGGAAAATAAAAATCATATCACAGAATATCACAGAATATCACAGAATAGTAGGGGTTGGAAGGGACCTCTGTGGGTCATCTAGTCCAACCCCCCTGCCGAAGCAGGGTCACCCGGCTGCACAGGACCTTGTCCAGGCGGGTCTTGAATATCTCCAGAGAAGGAGACTCCACAACCTCCCTGGGCAGCCTGTTCCAGGGCTCCGTCACCCTCAGAGGGAAGAAGTTCTTCCTCATGTTCAGACGGAACTTCCTGTGCCTCAGTTTGTGCCCTTTATAAAGGCTTTTAGGATTATGTTACGTATCAAGCCTCGGAACACCACGTACACTTCTGCACTCTCTGAGCTGCACAGCCTAGCTTTGCTCTCCTGTTTAAAAAGCAGTTGCACAGAGAGAGGCTTAAATGTTAGAGGGTCCTTCCGTTCAGCAGAGGTGATTCAGTGGATGAATCACGAAAGGAATAAGAAAATCACATGGGAAGAAAGGTGTATATTTCCAGCAGTGAGGGTGACAAGTTGTCCGATAGATTTTCGAAGAATATGATGGATTTTCTGTCATTACACCCAAACTGAATTTCACTTTTAAAGCTTTGCTCTAGCTCAGCCCACAGACAATTAGGCCAAAGGTCAGACTAAGATGATCGCAGCAGACTCTTCTGGAAGTGCAATCCTGGCTCTGCGGAAATCAGTGAACTCAACTGCCCTCCTCGAGTTCAGCAAAGCTGCCTTTTGGATATCTTGAGTCCTTCCCACTGAGATTCCTCTAAGTCACAGGGAGCAGAATTTTCTTCTGGACAGGTCAGAGAGAGTTTTTCCTTATTTCAGGAGTTCCAATACCTTTCCTCATTACTGTTACTGGAAGACAGTTCTGTCTGAGCCCCTGCATCAACAGCTCCTAATCGGTCTGGGCAGTAAGTGGAGGAGCATCTTGCAGCCTTCCTACAGCCTTGCGGTTGCTTATTGGGATGCTGGATCCCTCGGCGGTGTTTCAATATCCTGGCTGCAGGAGCAGTTGGTCTAAGGGATGCTGTGCCTCAGTGTTTGCTGGTTGCCTTGAAAGCATCATTAAATAAACCAGGAAAAGGTAAAAACAAAAGTATTCTTTTATAAAAGGTGACTTCAAAGAACGCAGCCACAAAGGTTACGGGAGAAGTAAGCTGAAGGTTTCATTTGTCCAGCAGTACCCAACCGACAGCCTGCCAAAAGCTGCGTGGTCTTGAGATTAATATACACCACACACTCCCCGCTCTTGCTTGCGACCAGACGTGACAGTAGCAATCAATCTGGACTGCTAATGGGTTTAAGCTGGCTAATTCTCCTCCTGTTTTTTCGGGATGCTGTGACAGCCCCCCGACACTCGCGCGTTCGCGTGCGCAGCGTGCCCTGTTCAGCCGACAGCCGCGCGCAGATCACTTTGTCTGATGTGCCTTTCTTCTTAGGCAATTAATAAGGCAACAAAACTAACGGGGCAAAATAAAATCATTAATCAAAATAACAGAATTAACCAGGCAAAAGAATTAATTGGATAATAAAACTCCTATGTTTTATCTCATCAATAGACACTCTCACTGCTTGCACCTAAGAAACAAAATCCTGCAAATCAAGGCAATTTTTGGCCAGGCCCTGTTTTGCAAAGAGGGGGTACCTGGACCCTCCAGCTGCGAGACAGGTCTTGTAGCCCTCTGAGGTGCAACCACACCAGCAGAGCAAAGCTACACACAAGCCCTTAAGGCTGGCTTTCCTCACAGGGGAGATGTTGAAAGGACTCTTTCACATAGGAAAGAGCATAGCAAAGGGGAGAAATACTACTCTGCTGAGTCACAGAGCTTTCCAAAGGACAGGAGAGCTCTGTGAGGCCCTCTGTTGGGTTTCTCAAGTGAGAATAAAATAGAAAGTTACCATTAGCCGCACAGCATCTCTCTTTCAGCCCAGAATGAAGGGCTGGCAAGAGGAAAAACGCCAGGAGTCAGGGAGGTGATGTGCCTGCTAACCCCCCACCTTGGGGAACGTGCTGCTGTTGGAAGGCATCCCTTCGCTGGGACGCTCCTGCGATCACCAGGCTGCCTGAGCTTCTAGGCAGTACTCACAGGAGTCAGGGTGGACCCGCCTCGGAGGTGGAAGAGGTTCATTAGCAAAGCAGTCCATTTTCAGATTTCGCTTTCAATTCTTTCCGTTTTGTCCCCCAGAACGTTGGAAAGGAAAATACCTGTAAAAACCCAGAGGGATCATTTTCTTTGATGACTTCTAGGCAGTACTCCATCAGCCCCGTTGACTGGCGTAGCTTCAGCGTACAGTGATTTATCTGGTCCCAAACAACCTGGAAAACAAGCATCAGTACAGTTCTGATGACTGCCTCAGCGTAGAGTGAAGTGTATAAGATTATTTCAGAAAAGACAACGAGTGGAAGAGTGTGTTAAAGCTATGCTTAATTTAGCTGCCATATGGCCATTGCCATACTCCATCAGCTACACTCACTTGCTCTGTGTTGTAAATACCGATAATTAGCTTGGCAAAATGTTGTGCACAGGCAATCTCAATTTTCAGAGCAGATTAATTGCTCAAAGATCAGGCATGCTTGGGGCAGAAAAAGCACAGAACACATTTCTGCATTTGCAGTATTCACATTTACAACCACACTTCCATTAAAATCTGAGCTTTTAAAAAATCCTTGACTTAAAAAGCAAGTGTTGTAGAGGAAAACTGCATGAGTGCTTTCTTGCAGATTATACTCTCTCATTCTCTTCACAATTCACCATTGATCCTGCTCTGCTTAAAAACGCATTGCTAGGATTAAGAAACAAAAAACTGCATTTCATTTCTCCAGATTTTGGACTTGATTCTGCTGCCACACGGCTGCAGACCAGGCCTAACAGCGCTGCGTCCGAGAGCACAGCTCCTGAGGTGCAACAGCCTAACAGGAATAACCACAGGACCAGCTGTCCTGCCAGTAGCACGTCCTAAGTGTTGGTCCTCGTTAAGTACAGGGGGGCTTAAACGCTGATCATGAACATGGATTTTATTCGTTATTTGTCATGTTCAATTTTTCACTTCTGTTTTTCCTTCTGGTTTAGATACTTTTAATGTCACGGGCACTGTAATACCTCAAAATCACATCTGCAGTTCACCATTTGAAGAAATGTGTCTATTTAAACATTTCTTGACCACCACATCATTCATAGAATCACAGAATCATAGAAAGTTTTGGGTTGGAAGGGACCCCTAGAGGTCATCTAGTCCACCCCCCCCCGCAGCGAGCAGGGACACCGCTAACTGGATCAGGTTGCTCAGAGCCCTGTCCAACCTGGTCTTGAATGTTTCCAGGTATGGGGCCTCCACTACCTCTCTGGGCAACCCGTTCCAGTGTTTCCCCACCCCCCTCATAAAGAATTTCTTCCTTATATCTAGCCTAAACCTACCCTGTTTTAGTTTAAAACCATTACCCCTCGTCCTGTCACTGCTGTCTCTACTAAAAAGATTGTCCCCATCTTTCCTATAGGCTCCCTTTAAGTACTGAACCATCTACAGCTTTCTTCTCCCACCCCCCTTTACTGCATTACTTTAATATCTTTTCAGTGAGCACATGGATCTCTGGAGGTGGCTTGCCTGAATTTCAAAGGTTTCAAGAGACACCAAAAATCCCAAAATCTTACTTGGACAGAAGGGGTTTCTTGCGTTTGGAAGGTCCCAGGCTCCAAACCGCACACAGGTTTCACTGACAAGCACCTCTCAAAAGACAGCCCGAAACCATGGGATAAATAAAGACTGATGGCCTGAGCCAACCACCTGCTGAAATACAAGCCCCACTTGAAGCATATAAGCACAGCTCCGCCAAACTGCTGAACTGGAACCCGCTGCAGGACTTCAGGATTTGGCCACTAGGAATTTCCATGGTGTAAAGGGCTGGGGACTCAACAAAACACACCGTAACGCCAGGTATCGACAGCCGTGCTCGGCTGACGAGAGTTGTGCTCACCTTCAGCTTGTGCTCACGTTCTTTGGTCACCTTGGTGAGCAGTTTTGCCTTTTGTCGCGTTAGCGCATCGACCAAGGCATCGCACTGAGCGACAAGACAGGCTTCATAATCCAACCCGTTCTCCTAGAAGAAGGCGAGAGTCATACTCATCAAAAAAAACCTTATTTTACACCTTAAACTGTTGTTCATCCTTACCTGGGGTTCTGTTCAGAAAAGATTTCCTTTCAAGACTTTGGAATGTCTGTTGCCTTTCTGATTTCATTATAGCTGTAGCAGTAATTGCTGCACGCTATAAAACGAAGCAGTAAGATGCTATGCCACCAAATGGGCTTATTTAAAACCCTGATTTACTGGCACTTTCCGGACAACAGATGTAGTACAACATAACATAAAATCTAAACCTAACATACACAGTGCATAGAAATACATCAGGCAATTCTGCCCCCCCTCTTTTAATTAACCCACTGTAACAACTTTGAAATCACTGGCTCTATACCATGACAATTAGAAGAGAGTTATTGACCAGCAACTGGTCTGCAGGCTTATCCCAAGGAAATTAATCAGGTACAAAGCCCTGAGATTTTGTGTATTGCTTCAAGCGCTTTTTTAAAAATAGCTTGGCAGTGGAGATATGTATTAGATTAGCTTTAAAAAATAAATAAACAGCAATTTTTTATTCCCATTGTGGTAAAAGTGTCTGCTAGGCAGAGACCAGCATCTGAGGTGTAAAACACCTCTCCGACTGAGCCTTGCGCAGGGCCTGGGTGCCATAAACCCCTGTCCTATCGCCGGGGAACAAACCGTGCCACCACAGCGTCCCACCGCAGCCGCAGAAAGCCGAGCAGGAGGTACTACAGGCTCCGGAGCCGCCCTGCTCCCGGGGCTGGCTCTCTGGCCGTGGAACCGATGCTGTAGCACCCATTCGAAGGGAGGCTCACCCTCGCTCCCTCTGCTCGCGAGACTGGAAGGAGGAGAAAGTGTTCAAGCTCCTCTTTCCAGGACGTGTTCAGTTATCCTAGCAGGTTTCCTCCCAAATACCCAAATCAGAAAAAAAGCAGCAGCGTTAAATGCGAGAAGATACTAAACGTGCTGAAGGAGCAGCAGCTCTATGGAAAGCCATCACACTCTCCTAACTCATTACTATCTCTTAGCTCCTTTGGTCATGCTTTTCTCTTCTTTTCCGTTCATTGCCTTGTCTTCATCCTTTTGAGGGCAAAATTTTCAGCGCTGTATTCCCTTCCCCCCCTGCGATCCACACATCCCTCTCCCCAGCTGAGGGATGCAGGGCCACCCTTCCCCGGGAGGCCCCCCGCAGCAGCCCTAGACCTGCCAGCGAGGTGGGTGCGGGGAGGGACACCAGACGGGGCTACAGGTCGGTCTTGGGCTCCTCCTGTTTGCATCTCTCCCTCCTTGGCTTATATCACACCCAGCTCCCTCTTCAGCCTGCTCCCATCCGGCTACTCCTGAAGTGCTCACAGAGCCTGGATCAGCCGGTGGCCGCAGCCCGTCGCTTCTCTCCTCGTTTTCTGCTCACCCATCAAACGGGGCGTTTGGCAATACGCCTCTTTCAAGTGAGAAAGGATGAAATTGTTACAGCAGATGGGAAAACGTGAAAATCAGATAACGAGAGCAACAAGGAGGAGCAAGGAAGCAACAGGAGCAATGAGGAACAGGCAGTTTCTGGAAAGAAGAGACCAAGAGATTTAAAAGTGACCTCAGAAAGGAGAAGGGAAGGAAAAAAGAGGGGGGAAACGAGCTCTGCAAAGCAGGGAAAAGAAAAGTAGCTTATGAATTTGCAAACTGCCCCAGGCAAGATAAAAGCACAGCTCCTGGCAGCTCTGGCAAACTCAAAGCAGAGATACAGAGTGCAGATGGCTGGCTGGTCTGCTCTGCATTGAAACGGGATAATAGAACGTACACATTGCTCGGTCCTTTGTGTAAACACACATTTTCAAGACATTTTTGCTGAGGGGTAAATGGCTCTGTGTGTGTAGCAACCATCATAAGACTTCTACTAGAAATAATGTCCTCTGAGATACAGGGTTCGGGGTATAAATCCACGCACAAAGGCTACATCTATTCCCCCCTCAAAGAACAGTCCAAGAACTGCTTTTTTGGTCCCGATGCCACAAGGCGCAGATCAGCCCGTGACATATCTAAACCCTTTCCCCTCGAGCAGCGTGGCTGTAGCAAAGCTGCCTACCAGGAGTAGTCCCCTGTAGCAAAGCTGCCTACTAGGAGTAGTCCCCTGTACCAAAGCTGCCTACCAGGAGTAGTCCCCTGTACCAAAGCTGCCTCCCAGGAGTAGTCCCTGGCGTGTGCTATCATCAAACGTTGCCCGAGCATCACCTGGGAAAAGTGCAATTTGCCACGGGAGAAAACCACACCGGGGAGCTCATGAAGGGTTAAAGCGTGTGGGTGGTCATCTAAGAGCTTTGCCCTGGCCTTCATGCCGGAGACGGGCTCGACACGCGAGGGTCGGATTCAGCCTTGCGCCCAGACATGCCCACGTGTTAGAGGGTGACCGCCGGCGACGGTTTGCTCCTCTGAGCTCTCCTCTAGCATTTCAAGCCATCAGCAGCGTCAAAGAAACGGCTTGGTCTTTTGATCTAATTGTAGCGGCGCCCTTACGCAGGGCAATTTGGCAGTGATTTTATTGAAACACATTAAAGGATTTTACAGCAGTCATAAACAGTCGTAATAGGCCACCTTTAGGGTTTCAAAAGGGAAAAATACATTTTTAATGGAGCTAGGTGACTCAAGAAAAGACTGGTGATAGACAACTCTTTTGGATGAGTTATCTCATCCTAAAATAGCTGTTCAGACCTACGGGAAGATCTGCTCTCTAGAGGAGCCTGTCCTTCTCCTTGGATGATGAAAGAAGCCTAAATGACTAGGTTAGATGAGTTACATAACTTTTTAATTAGGTAAAGTCAGCTGAGAGAAACCTCAGACCGTGTCTGAAACACAGCACGTGACAGGTGCCAGTCGGTGGCTTTGCACTGGTTTCTTTCAGTTATATGTGGGGTTTTTTTAACCAGTTTCCCAGTCTGGGCTTGCTCGCTTCCCCACACGGCCCCAGAAGACTGTGAGGGTGGGTAGCGACACTGCCCTGTGGCAACCGGAGAGCTCGGGCAGCACTTGGGGTACCAATCCGTCGCCTGGAGAGTTAAGTGGAATTTTAACAATTCAACTCTAAACCAAACACAGATTTTTGAACTTCTGCTGTGGCTTTCTGTTCATAACAGGAACAGGACCTGCTCGCTGACGAAAGATGGGCACGCCGCAGAGCGGCCACAGAAAACCCACTGCCACAGAGCACCGCTGCTGCAGATGACAAGCGTCCCCTCCCGGGCGCGGGGGAAGCTCAAACTATGGTGGCACGTTCCCAGCCACGCTCTCCAGGGTGAGAAGGACCTTGAGAACCATCTGATCTCCAGCACTGACGAGTCTAAATTTGGTTGAAAACGGAACTTGTTAAGTTTGGGGTTTGTGCCCTCAATTACTGCACTCACCACGAGCCCTTTCCTGGCTATTAAAGCTGGGCAATTATAGACAAGAAAATATCTTCTGCTTCAATAAATGACTACACTGATTTAGCAGCACTTGCTTCTTCTCGTTTTTTGACTTCCTGCAAATACTCTAATAAACAGGTGGACTGGATTTTGTCCAGAAACGAGTACATTTTTAGAAAATGTCAGATGAAAAACAAGTAGTAAATTGTGAATCTGCTAAAATGAGAACTTCTCCTAAATGAAATGCCCAATTCAAGCAGCTCCAGCCAGGAAGGAGCCCAGAAGCATGACCGATGGGTTCAATCAAACCCTAATTAACACAGCTTGGACGGCCAATATTGAGTATCAGCTTCTTGCAACAAACAGCGAACAATCCAGAAGCTAAGCGGGGCTTGCCGGCATTATTTGATGAATAATTCTGCCTAGCAAATCCGTTCAAGAAAGGTTAGACGATTCCAGGAAAGACAAGAACAGCACAGGAGACAAAGCCATCAAATAAATTATTCACTCAGTTCTATTGATTACTGTATTATGAAAACAGCCAATATTCTACAGTTACCTGGATCTGCTGCAATAAATTTTTCAGCTGAACCAGAAATTCTTTAGCTTCCTTTGCTTTATCCGAAACACCGTTTAAAGCCTGGGACAGCTGTGCCTGCGAGGGAAAAAAAGAGGGGAAAAAAAGGAAAAAATCAGAGATAAAATGCAAATGTGTTTCTTACTAATCCTCGGTTTTGATGACTAATAACGTGCTAAAAGGCTGACTTGCTGTTGCACGTATTCTTACACGCACAGAGTGGTTGTGCTAGAAAAGACCGGTGAAGATTTTAATTGTAATAAGATTTAATAAAGGTGAAATATGCATGTGGGGGCAGTCAAGTATTGTGTCTGCACATCCCACTTTCCTGCAGTAACTTTGTAAGTCAAAATACCTTTTTACCAGACAACAACCCACGTATATAAGGAAATAAGAGTCTTACACTTCCACAGCAGCATCTGTCATGCTGAAAAATCCCCAAGTGCTTTCCAAAATGGCACTATTTTTTGCATCAAAGCCTGAATTCTTTATAAATGTGGTAGCTCCTACCAAACCTGAGATACACCAAGACTTCAAAGACAAATCTGCATTTTCAGACTCAGGGCTCCAGTTTCCCATGCTCCAACGCAACAAAAGAGTGAATATTTCTGGAAAAGTTGGAAAAAATCCTTCCTCTAACTTCTGACTGGTGAGACACATGGAATATGTCTTTTGTAGGTCCACCCCGAAGACCTAACCTCCCCTTTCCTCAGCTGGCACCTGAGATCTCTAAACCAAACCAGAGGCTTCTCCATGGACTTCCAGGATGGGAAGGAGACGCAGAACCACCATGGGCTGACCGGAGCAGCCCCTGTGCAGCTCCACTGGAAGCCCGGTTGGGATTACAGAAACCGCATTGCTCTGCTTGCCAGCCCGTGGCGAGCCTGGATCCAGCATTACTTCTCTGTGCAGACACAATGCCGAGCAACCGGAGAGGTCCCACCCTGAGTGTCCTGCAGGTTAGACACTCTCTTCGTCGATCCACCCCTCAGGTGGACTTGGCAACCACCAGATTGCCAATGCCTCGTTAATTAGCCTTACCAAACGGATATGACAGCTGGCATAAGGAAATGGACGGTGAAGTATCTCTGCTAACGTCGGGCTTTCCAAAGGTTGCTGTCTCCTGTTTCCTTAGGACTAGAGCGTGCCTTGAGACAGAGCCTTGTACGTAGGAAGGCACAGAGGGCTACGAGAATGAGGGGACTGGAGCATCTCTCCTATGAGGAGAGGCTGAGGGAGCTGGGCTTGTTCAGCCTGGAGAAGAGAAGGCTGAGAGGGGACCTAATAAATGCTTACAAATATCTTCAGGGTGGGTGTCAGGGGCCAAACTCTTTCCAGTGGTGCCCAGCAACAGGACAAGGGGCAATGGGCACAAACTGAAGCAGAGGAAGTTCCAGCTGAACAGGAGGAAGAACTTCTTCCCTCTGAGGGTGACAGAGAACTGGACCAGACTGCCCAGGGAGGCTGTGGAGTCTCCTTCTCTGGAGATATTCAAGACCCACCTGGACAAGGTCCTGTGCAGCCTGCTCTGGGTGACCCTGCTTTGGCAGGGGGTTTGGACTGGATGACCCACAGAGGTCCCTTCCAACCCCAAACATTCTGTGATTCTGTGATTCTGTGAAGGCTGTGAGCCTCTAAGAGGAAACCTAATGGCAATTCAGTAAGGCAGCACTCATTCCCTGTTTCCCTCTTGCTGCTGGAGGGATGTAATTTACTCCACCCCTGAAAAGGGCACAGCTCACCTCTTCGGACTGCCGAAGCTCCGAGCGTACCTCCTGCCCGCATGTCTCCTACTCCTCCCCGCGCTGTGCCCGCTCACTCGCGCAGGAGAGCGGAGAGCAGAGCCTGGCAGCTCCCTCCGGTCCCTCCCCAGCCCCGCTCCGAGGCAGGCAGCCTCACACAGGCAGAGGCACCGGAATACTCTCGGAAGCGGGCGCAAACCCTGACCGGGAGCTGGGGCTGAATCACAGAGCAAGCCTACTGTGGTTTCCTTCTGCTCACACAAACTTTCCCTTTTAAACCAGCTGTAGGTGTTACATTAGTGCTAAATTTGAAATTAAAACGTGCTTTACTACAACCCATTTGTAACATATGTAGCGGGAAGACACATTACTTCTTAGTATTTGAATATTTAATATCCTCTTACACAAACTCCTGTCACTGCACAAAAATTTAAAGTGATGATGTTTGACATGAACAGTGTTTGAGGTCGCAGAAGCAAACTCCAAGTCTTTGAAAGGATCCCTATTTTCTACCAGATCGACCAACTGGGACTTCAGATCAGCTTCCACGGGCTGGCAGTGATGGCCAAAGCCCACCTTTTTTGATTGCACTTTGGGCTCCAGCCACAAGACACGTTTGAGCCTCTGGTTTGTCAAGCTGACCTACGACAAGGTGGAAGCGGCGTATGACCAAGCGAGAAAGACATCGGTGGCAAAAGCGTGGTATGCTTTGCCATTGACTGGCCCCACCAAATTGTCCCAGGGACGCAAGGGCTCCTTTCTTCCAAATCAAAACCAACAGCTGGTTTCAATACAAATAAAACTTTCACTTTTCCAACATCTGCCCTAGCTCTCAAATCACCTCAAAGTGGATTTCACCAGATAAGAAGAGCCAAAAGCTACACGTGGGCATCACAGCAGCCACAGAAAACCGAATCCCTGCAGACAAACTGTAACCAGCGCACGCACGGCGGCAATCGGCACAGCCACTCCCGGCTCCCGGCACGCTCCCGTCGCAAAGAGCCGCAACCGAAACTCAGCGACGTCGTTGTTCAAAGGGCTCGTCAGCCAATTGCCCTGTTCACTAAAACCTGCGGCGGCATCAACGCAGCTGCAACGTGAAACCAAGGAGAAGACCGGACCCCCACTTCTGAAACCCGCTTAGAGACAACAGCCTTGTTTTTGCAGCATCTGTAAAAGACGCCTTACAAAGCAGTGGAATTTAGTCATGCACTTCCCATTAAAATCAAATCGAGCTGCAGGACTAAGCCCCCAGTAAACCAACCAAGTCATAAAAGAATGCCCTGTACACTCCGAGCAATCTTTCCTGCTGCAGAAATGTTTTCCGGAAGCCAAACTGAAATGTCACCAGCTCCGCTGGCTGCGACGAGTAATGACTCCGGGCAAAAGGTATTCTACCTGGCGTTGTCTTTACTTGAATGACTGGTCTGGCAACCAGAAATGTGGATGTCAGGGATGGATACTGAGCTGCTACTTCCATCAAACGCAGGAACAGAGAGATAATGAGGGTGAGTAATTAAACCCAGATGGGCATGGAAGACCGATGCTTGCTTTGATTTTAGAAAACGAACCAGATAATGCCGACATCCTTTTTCAACCGAACAGTTCATGCTCATTTAACTTGTTTTTCCTCTATCTCTCTTTAGCAGCAGATTAATTATCGATTAGATAAGCTCACCCTGGTGCTGAATTCTGAAACAGCCCTCTTTTTTTGGGGCAACACAGCTCTTTCGGCCAGCAGATAAAAGCAGGCGTTTGGACTCCAACACTCACCTTCCACCGCCTGCCTGCCCTTCACAAACCCATCCAGCTGTGGCTTTTTTTCAGCATTTCCGTATATATTTAAACATTCAGAATGGGCAGAGTTGAAATGTGTCCACCATCATTCCTCGTATCGACAGGACAAAAGGTCTACCAACTCGAATCTGAGCGGTGTCACTGTTCTTGCTGTGAAAACCTAAAAGGACTTGACTTTGGCAGTAAACTTACAGTTTTACTAAATAACCTTAAACTGCTGGTCCAGGTGCACAGTTCATGCTGGGGCCCTGTTGTAATTTTACACCGTTTTTACTCCCTCTGCAGGAGAAGTTGCATGCAGCAGAGTAAAGGGGAAACCAGCACCACGAATGGGGGCCAACCAGTCTCGCACAGCTTTCTTGCCAGCAGTACAGCTGAGGACAAACGCCCTTTTCATTGCACGGTCTGAAGCACCGTATGGACAAGTTCATCTGCTCTGTAATTTGCCATTAAATCCCTATACAAGGCCCGGACGTGGGAGCAGTCAAACAGTTTGACCAAAAGGCTGATACAGAAGCGGAACGGGAATGGATCGTGAAGCTGAGGGTGGGCAGGGCCCCTGCAAAAGCAGTTCCACAGTCAGGAGAAAAAACGTTTGAAGTCTGCTGTGGTGGAATGAAGCGCGAGAGGTGGGGAAATGGCCCTGGCGACCCCGCTTAGGTGGAGAAGGCCTTCGAAGGAGATAAGCAGGTGCTTCTGAGCTGGCGGTGAACAACATCAGTCTGTCACATCTACTGGGCTACGGTCACCTACGGACAAGCCCTTCCAGCTGCCTCTACCAGCTACGCCCAGAGCATCGGGAGACAACACATACAGCTTAAATTACGCTTGGCATACCACTCGATGTAAGTAATTTATAGTTTGGCCAAAGTGACGGAGCCCTGGCCCAGGCTGCCCAGGGAGGCTGTGGAGTCTCCTTCTCTGGAGATATTCAAGACCCGCCTGGACGTGGTCCTGTGCAGCCTGCTCTGGGTGACCCTGCTTCGGCAGGGGGGTTGGACTGGGTGACCCACAGAGGTCCCTTCCAGCCCTGACCATTCTGTGATTCTGTGATTCTGTGTAATAAACTTGTAGAAATTGCTGTACCTGAGAACTATTTCTAAGCAGAAGTATCTAACTCCAAAACAATTTATCTGAGTGAACGTGAGCCGATGATTGAGGCTGTCTGGCTGTACGGTTCTATTATATTTATTTTCTGTCAAGCACATTGTTCTGGGAAAAACAGTATTCACAGGAGCACAATTTGAGAGTCCCCAAATAAGTTAACTTGGAGTATTTTTTTTCTTTCGCTAGAATTTTCACGTTGATTGAGCCTGTAAATCAAGAGTAAAATCACACCCTGCGATACCTTACTCACAGAAAAAAATTGCAGTAAAACCACAAACCACCAGGGTATTGTTCTTTCTTTTGGCAATGTTTGACAGTAGGAAAGAAAGGAGATGACTGACTGCGCACTTTGCTTACACCAGAGTTTATCACACTGTTCAAAAAAGGCATGGAACAGTTTTAACTCCAGGTAGACCACAATACAGCACGGGCCAGTCCCTCACACTCCAAAACATCAGCCACACTTGCACAGCGAATTCAGCCCCTGCTCCCTAAAATAGTGCTGCTCAGAAGTGGATTCTGCCATCGGCATAAGCAGAGGCAGCTGTGAATTGTAACCTGCTCCTTCTGGGCCTGGAGAACCTCTCCTCCACACGGCCACCACGTTAGGGAGCAGATGGCTGACCCCTTGGCAGAGAGCATTCAAACTGAAACAACGTACTGAAGAAGTTTGTCTCTCTCAGGTGGACAACCTACGCAGACCATCCCAAGGGGAATCTCATTTTAATCTTAAAATCGAAAGCGGGGCTTTTTTCACCTTGTCAAATGTCTTAGCCTAGCTTGTGCTCAACCACTCCACGGATGAGGAGAGAGCAGTGCGGATTTTGTCCTCTCCTGCAGCGTCTGAAAGCATCTCCCTGTGCTTCCTTCCCTGCTGACAGCAGCAGCGAAGAAGGGAATCCTGCACCCAGAAGAGCTGGGCAAGAGCTTTTTGCACAGTCGTGGGGGAAGTCCTTTCCCCCCTGTACAGCGGGAAGCTCCAGAGGACTGCTCTCAGCACTCAGGTATGAAAGTCCCCTCTGTACGGTCATGTTTTAACCAATCATTTTTCCAGGGTCTGCTGCTCCTTGCAAGAATGAGCTACCTTCATAGACTTTTCCAACTTCTAAGGTCGCTGCTCTTTATTCAAATGGGCACAGTCGTGGGGGAAGTCCTTTCCCCCCTGTACAGCGGGAAGCTCCAGAGGACTGCTCTCAGCACTCAGGTATGAAAGTCCCCTCTGTACGGTCATGTTTTAACCAATCATTTTTCCAGGGTCTGCTGCTCCTTGCAAGAATGAGCTACCTTCATAGACTTTTCCAACTTCTAAGGTCGCTGCTCTTTATTCAAATGGTTGCAAAGTCTTATTTTTAACAGGGAGAGTGTGGTCAAGGGACCCAGCAGCTCCTCCAGAACTCGGCCAACGGCCTCTGCTGCACAGCGGCTGGCTCTGAAGCCTTCCCGCGGTGGGTCCAGGGAGGGCTGAGGAGCAGCGCTTGCAGGGCAGCGTGAATCAGACCGCGACACCACGTGAATCAGAAAAAGCTTTACTTGTCACAGAATCACAGAATGGTCAGGGTTGGGAGGGACCTCTGTGGGTCACCCAGTCCAACCCCCTGCTGAAGCAGGGTCACCCAGAGCAGGCTGCACAGCACCGCGTCCAGGCGGGTCTTGAATATCTCCAGAGAAGGAGACTCCACAGCCTCCCTGGGCAGCCTGGGCCAGGGCTCCGTCACCCTCAGAGGGAAGAAGTTCTTCCTCGGGTTCAGCTGGAACTTCCT